AGGCGGCGAGGGCTCGGGCCAGATGGTCCCTTCTGCTCGGCGGCGCTTGCCAAGGGAGCGGCGGGGCCGGCGGGGTGCCTGGGCGGGCTGAGCCAGCTGCCGGGAAGGAGGTGGAGGGCAGGCGGTCTGTCCGTCTGTCGGCCAGCCGGCCTCGTCGGAAAAGACCGTGACTCAGGCGATGGGGGGGCGGGCGGAGAGAAGGAGGGGAGAGGACAGGGAGGAGCCCCCCCCCTTCCAGGAGGACACCGAAACCCGAGCAGAGCTTGGCGTAGGGCAGACAAAACTGGGTCGCCTTCCTGGCCGCTTTTGACGGGCGGCGCAGACTTCGGAGGCGCTCCCCAAAGCAGCGCGCTCCCTCTGCAAAGCAGACGCGCCGCCTGAACGGGCTGACCCCTTTCCCAATTCCGTGGGACTCTGCTGTCACGGCACCACTATATCTGCTATGGGCGAAGCCCCCTGGCCGGGATCCCTCGCTTTGTGCCCGCCTCACATGCCCAGTCCCCTGTCTTGGTCCTGGGCCTCTGTCTCGGGATGTACCTCCCTTCAATTATTGTTCCTCAACCATATTTCTTGTGGGACGGCTGAGGTTTGTAGTAGTAAGGCAGAAGATGAATAGAAAGGAGGGCCAAAAGTTTCTGCTTCTGCAGGAGAAGAGAGTAGTTCTGTCTCCAAAGAGCCCTCCTCCCCTTCCCCAAACCAAGGGCTGCCCTGGGGATTAGAGAGCCTTCCAAACCGGGAGGCAGTTGAGCAGGGTGGCCAGTCACCAGTTACACCTCTGTAGCCTCCCCACACTCCAAGAAGTGACTTTGAACAAGTGTGTGTGTGTGTGTGTGTGTGTGTGTAAGCAAACTTTTATTTTCCTGAGAGCCTTCCAAACCAGGAGGCAGTTGAGCAGGATGGCCAATCACCAGATACAGCTCTCTAGCCTCCCCACACTCCAAGAAGTGACTTTGAACAAGTGTGTGTGTGTGTGTGTGTGTGTAAGCAAACTTTTATTTTCCTTTGAGGGCCACTTACCCAGTGACATGTGTCTATAATCAATAGCAACGAACAGGTACGAAATGTATGGTACAAGCCCTGAGCTTGTCATCAAGATGAACTCATCCTGGAAGTGGCCAGATGTGGCTGCCCCTCTGCCCATGAGGTTGTGCGAAAAGATCCTTTGGTGTTTCATCCCCCCCCCCATCCAGGATGTACAAGGCGAGCCCTGGTTTTTCTCCCTGCTGCAGGGCTTCTTGCCCAGGGTGCACATTTGCACTGCATCCACAGGTTCCTCCCCTTTAGCAGATTGTATGGTTTGCAAGGAAAATCTGTGGCTATTTGTAATGCCCAACATGACAAGTCTCTGGGAAACAGGACTGCTAGGAAACAAGCCATGTTGATTGAGAACTGTAGGTGCAGAAGAGGGGAGGACTGGAGAAGAACGTGTGTGATCACCCAACAGCTTTCAGTTCCTCAGGAAGATGATAAATGATACGGAGCAAGCATGGCTAGCAAGGAATGCACCTCTTTCTTCCTTTGAAAAAATCCCAGTTTCTTTATATATACGGAGAGAGAGGATATTTTCTTGTTGTCACATTCATGCCATGCTTGCAGTAAGAGGCTGGTGTACAGACCCACTGAACAAGAGGCGGGCTTTGCTTCTGAAACCCAGAATCTGCACATAGGAATCAGAGACAAAGAGAAGTAAAGCAGCAGGGAGGGAGGAAGCCGTAATGGGTGCCCAAGGACTAGCCGGTGGCATGTCAGGATGTCTGCCAAGTTGGCACAAACCTTGACATCTCCATCGGTGTGCCGAAGACTGGATGCCTCATCTTCTAATTTAAACCATTAAATGTCTCATAACTGAGATGATGATTATTTCTCTGATTCCCTATGTTGGTGACTTAAACTGCGAACCCTTTGGGGCCAGTTTGTTATCTGCTCTCTGCTGGCGGCCTTGTTGCTGCCGTAATTCACCCTGAGCCTAAAGGACAGGGCAGGCTATAAACAAAGGCAGAAATAAAGGGTGATGTGCTCTCCTCTTTAGTGAGGGATGGGAGGTTTTTATTGGGTCATGTTTGCTCAGCAGGATGAAGTCTGAAAAAGCACAGCAAACAAAACACAACCGTGATCTTGTTTATGGAGCAATGGGGTGGAGGTTGGCAAAAGCTTGGCACAGTCTGCTGAAGGAGGCTCCCCTTTCTTGCTGCCTTGTCTGTTGAGAGAATGACTTGGCTTCTTGTTTTTGCTTCCCTAGGTTGTTCCCTAGGTGCAGCTAGCTGCCAATTAGGCTCAAAAAGTCCCACTGTGCCTTCTAGGAAGGATGGGGTGCAATATTGCCATGTTTGGGGACCCTCCCAGCACATCTACCTCTTCATATTCTCACCCCCAAACTGTGACTTTTAAAAAAAATGGCAATGAGGAGTTTCTCTGTTTTTTTAAAAAAAGCTAAATACATTGGGGGGGGGAGTAGGGGCCTGCCTCCCCAAATATTTTGGGGAAGGAAGGGGTGTGGCTGATTGGATTCAAGTCAAGGTGAGGAAGACCAAGGAACAAAGTATATACTAGGGTGATGCTCGTAATTCTAAAGAGGGATGGATCGATTGCATAACCAGACTGGCACCTGAAATGTTGGGCATGTGGATAAGAATTGAGCTGCCCACATGCTGAAGCCAGGGCTGGCTTGAGACATTTTTGCTGACACTAGTGGAGTAGCAAATGCACTCACCCCTACAATTCAAGGTGCCTGATACTCATAGCCAGCCAAGTTATCTTTGCACCCTGGAGCAAGTGCAAAACTTGAAATGTGTCAGGATTTCTCCCTAGATTTCACCTCTCTGAACGTCTCGTTATCGATGGCATTTATCTCTTAGTGCTGCCTTCCTACATTAATGCATTGGAAAGAGTTCCACATTTCCTACTCATAGTGGTTCTCACAATTGCTGTTACCACTCACAACATCAATCCACTCGAGCCATAGGCCCAACAGCATCAGCTTGATTGTATGAATTGGCAGCATGTCAGTTACAGGTTTTTGGGTGCCCCTTTGACACTCTCAGTGAAGGTCAGTCTGACACACTCCACACCATACACTCATCCACATGCTTCTCTCACATGATCTTGCTGAAATCCAGTAGTATGTCACAATTAAAGTACAGCCATTGAATCAGTGTGGATTTTGTGAACAAACGCTTATGTAAAATTCTACAGATTACAACTTACTACAGGGTTTTAGCCTCTGTGTGTGGGAGGGAAGGGTGAGTGAGCTGTGGGGGGGGGAATCATGATCACTAGGAAGCTGCACTACATTCAGACAAATCCCAAATTTTGAATTACTGTAGGACTCCTATATCTGCGGGATCGGTATCCGTGGTTTTACTTATCTGTGGTCTGAAAATATTAAAAATATTAAAAGAAAAGAACAACCCAGAAATATAAATTTCCATGATGTAATTGCCTGAACTGGCTAGAGGAAACCAGAGACTATGCCATGTATAGGGTTTATTATTATCCATGGTTTTTGGAATCCATGGGGGTGGGCAGGCTTGGAACCTGTCATGCATATGAGGAGCCTACTATAAATCATCCTGATTCAGCATAATATGTTTGAGGTTTGAATCAAATCAGAATGACAACTGTAGATGAAGCAATGAGAATTTACAAATGGATTCAAATCCAGAGCATGTCACTTTGGCATATAAATTGCACTATCCCCTGTAAATAAGCACTTCTCAGAGGAGGGCTGGGGGAAGAGACTGAGTCCCAGCCAAGAAATGCTGGAGGCCAAGCCTGGTCTATCCAGTGAGAGCTTAGTTCCTCAATAGGGCAAAGAAGCCTCTGAAGACGACCCAGCAAGGTAGGACATGACACTAATCCTTTTTTAAAAGCAAACTTAGTTTAAAGGGTTTAGTACACAACGCCCTGGAACTAGGTGTGTGAAATATGGTAGCTTTACTTCTCTGCTTTAGGGTTTATCATGACTCCAAATGTCACGCACATCCATGCAAAAGTAAAAGGAAGTTATAAGCATTTTGTTTTCCAAAATATCAACTTCACCTTTTCAGAACTGCCACAAAGACTCCCCAGAAGAGGCACAAAGCACTTCAGACTGAATCGGGAGACATTCAAAAGCTGTGAGCTGGCTTCCACATTAGATTGGGGGACTGTGCACAACTCTAATTATCTCTTTCTTTCTTTCTTTCTTTCTTCCAGAAGAGGCACAAAGCACTTCAGACTGAATCGGGAGACATTCAAAAGCTGTGAGCTGGCTTCCACATTAGATTGGGGACTGTGCACAACTCTAATTATCACTTTCTTTTTCTTTTTTTTTCTTTCTTTCTTTCTTTCTTTCTTTCTTTCTTTCTTTCTTTCTTTCTTTCTTTCTAGCAAAACTGGTGGATTGTGATGATCTTAAATAAGAAAAACAGAGAGAGGTA